TGTTTTCATCTTCTACGTTTCAGCCCATTCTTCTTCGTTGGCTTAAGAAAAAAACGCTTGTACCTTCGTGAGTATTGTCTTTCCGCCACTCCAAGACGTACTTTAACTAAATTGCTTTTCTGCACTAAAGCACGCTTCAGAAACCTCATTTGTTTTTTAACTCATAAGTCATATTATCTTAATCGTAGTATTTATGTTCTATTCAATTTTGTTACATCCGCAAAACCAGAACGTCGAGAAAATTATTATATTTATATAATATTCCTCCAGAGATCCAAACGGAAACAAGATGTCTTGGTCTGTGAATTTCAGTTAAGAACTCCTTTGTCGATTACGTCTGCGTTTCCGTCAACTAAAATTCAAAGTGAACCTCGCACTAATTTTCTAAAGTGGCTTCATGAAAAACACATTGGGCAGCTACTAGTAGAAAAATCAGAAGCGTAATGGGTAGTCGGTTAAATATTTGTTTCTGCATCATGAATCCGATTACCGACACGTGGCGTCTACAACCACAAGGAGAATTTCCTGCTGTTATATGCATCTGCGTTTCTCATGTCGTGGGTGCTAACCATTAGTGTTTTTATGCTCTGCATTTAACACAACACACTCACTGGTTACCGGTGGGGCAGCTGCAAAATTTAATATACGTATATCGATTTAATCTGGCAAAATTCCGGTCCTGCAGAAAAGAATTCTTTCGTATAGATGGCCTGCAGAGAGGATTCACTGACTATCTAGACTTCACTTTACAGTGGACACTGCATGAGCAATAAGCAAATTTTCAAATTTTTTAAACAGCTAATTTGTAAAATAAAAATGAAAGGGCCAAACTGGCAAAGAGCTGGAATTCAGGTTTCGGTTGAATATAAACAAATATATGCTTAGAGTTTTAAACTTACTTAAATTTTCAATATTTTCATTTATTCGCTAATTCGTTCGTTCGTTTTTTTTTTCGCAGCCCGTTTCTCCATTCTAGTAGTGGGGGAGGGGTGCAGCAGCTTCAGGATACCGCTTCAGTGACTTCAGGCTTCAACCCATCCAGTACGTTCAGCGTTACAGTGCAAGATGCGCAATAGGATTCAGTCATCTGTTCTTGAATCTGTCTCTTGTCTGTCTCTGAAGTACATTTTTAACACTGTCTTGCGAATCTCTCCTGGATTATGCAAATTGCGTGTCAAAAGAGTGGAAATTGCTATCTGTCTATCTAATGAAGGAACAACTCAGAAGCGAGAACAGTTCTGATAGTAGTGCTTTGAAGCTTGGGGCCCAGTGGTTAAAGCAATCCTTCCATTGTTGTCGATATCTGAAGTATGAGGGTCGATGACCGAGTATGCAGATTAATGATGTCTAACTCTTTGGGTCCGATCAACATCAGCAAAGAGAATTCCCATAACCTATGGATATCCTTCTGCCATAATCTCATTTCTTTCGCTGGTATCTTAGATCCCTGTTTTATACTCAGCATCCTGCACATTGACGTAGTTGAGGACAAGTAGTTAAGCACATTTAATGACTAACACCTTCCCTTGCACTGTCCAACTCTGTTCGCATTGCCACGGACCGCATCAGTGCTAGTATTGCGCATTGGGTTGATTGATTGGCGCACATTGCTGAGTTTTACCTCTCATTACATGTGAACGCTACCTCAACACATTTTGGTATCTTCGCCTGCCATATGAAATGATCTTTCTCGAAACTCAAAGACTTCGGTCTTTGTCCGTCCGATCAGGTGTCCGTTGTGGCCAGCAAGAAAGAATCGAATATGGTTATGTGACTGAAAAGAGCAGCTTGACTTATTTGAACATCTTCAGCTACAACATCTTTGTGTTTAAGCTGTGCCTTCAGATCTAAGAAATAAAATTCATTAACACGGAAAAATATGACGGATATCATGCAGTTTGAAAGATGTCGTTGTTTACCATTAGTCTAGATGTAGACCTTTGATTGGCAGTAATAATTTCATGTACCGATGATCTTCGCGTTATCCTTACATTATTGTAGTGTTCTATAAGCCAGTAATTTGATACTTTAAGAATTTGATACATGTGACATCTCAGATTGTATTTAGATTTCCATAAAAATTATGGCACTTTTTCAAGATTTTATCCTGGCTATCGCTGGGAAAAATGTTGGAGATACTAACAGTTTCAAAATACATATATGGATTTTGAAAAACTGGATTGAAAAGTCCTTGAGCTATTCCGCCATTTCTTGAAAGTTATTTCTTCAAGGTTCACTCCCCTGCTAACTGCTCCTGAAAGTGTATCACCGTTACCTATGCTTAAGATTATCATGATATAACTGTGCACACATTGACTGAACGCAACATAAGTCATTACTCATTATTTGTGTTGTACATTTGTTGTTTGCCCTGCTAAAGGCAGTAGCACTTCGAATAATCTTATTTAAAGAGAAAATTCCATATTTCAGGCATGTTAAGTGGTTTAAAGTTTTTGAACAAATGAAATACATAAGGGATCATTATTCGGTTCTTTAAGATTGAAACAGATGACTGAATATCCAGTCCAAACACAACTCAACAGCAGCGCGATTCATGAGATGCGACGTATCACTTAATACAAAAGGCTTATGGCTCTGTGACATTGCGAAGCACCATCTCAGATAACATTTGACTTAGATTTGATGTCGATATTTCCTAGGGAGCAGGGAAGTTTTTGGAAAAGTAAAACAGACAGAGTGAGTCCGATTTTGACTTATTTAAACTCAGTTCGTTTAGGCTATACCACTGTTTGCTGCCGAGATGGATCTTCAACGCGTTCTCGCGAACTTCTCTGTGTCCCTCTATAACAATGCGATGACTCAATGCTCCTCGTGCTGTCTGTCTCCGTATGCGGTGCTATTCGAACTGTTCATCATTCATTACGCATGTGATAAGATCGCAGCTGCTCAACTGAGGAAAGTGCTGTTTCCTGGTGCTCGACTTTATGGAAACTTCCGTCACTTCTCCTCGGCACTTTATGGCATACCCAACACTGAAGAAGGTGATGGTCTGTCGTTCAACTCGCTGGTACTCTTGGACAAAACCTACAATTTCGCTTCTCGGTTTAAAAGATTTATCCGCGTGAAGACGGTCAGAACAAGTATTGAAATCGTTGACTTCGCAGATCTGGCTTCTGTGTCCTCGGTTGTAAACAAGAAAGTCAAAGATGAATCAGCAAATCATCTTAACGGCGTCATGGACGAAACGAAACTTCGCACATTTTACAAACTCCTGCTGAATAATGCTGCCTATTTTGACGGCCCGTCGGCGGAATTTTTTTCTTCCAGCTTTACAAAGGAGGAAAAATTTTATATGGACGATTCTGACCGTTCAGTTACCGTGCAAATGATGCACAAAATATTTCTTTTGCCCTACCAGGAAACACGCGAAGTGCAAATCGTCGCTTTTCCATTTCGGCCAAGTGTCGCAATATACATTGTCTTGCCGTGGTTCAATCACACTTTGAAACAAATCGAAACGAGTCTAACGAGCAAGAAATTGTCTAACTGGTTAACCAGTCAGTACGACTACAAAGTCGATGTAATTACAAACTGTAGTTCGAATAAGACCATGACTAATAGAGAAATACCTGGTTCCCATATTTCAGTAATTCCCTGCGATTCATGTAGATATAACATTTATGACTCCTGTGTCACTGTTCAGTCAGAGAGGAACGTTCTATTGCCAGATACCGGCGTTTACAACCAACTGCAGTCATTCTTCTTGAGATACTACAGAACTTACTCGCGCCATTTTTCTCAAAATTAAAGTCAATGTGCTGTCAGTTTATAAATTACTAGCTTATTCTTCAAAGATGATCACAACGCTATTCACCCTCAATATTAGATAGTAGTAGCAACAATGAACAGCACTTGGGAACTGCCTTATTTTGTTCCGTTCCAAAAACTAAAACTGGATCATTTCTTTATGTTGATTTAAAATCCCCACTTGTTAAAGCAACATCGTCCTAAATTTCAGACTCACTGACTCATTTAAATGATTAATTCCTATATTCACCTCGTTCCGATGTTCATAAATGTATTGAAACGCTGATTTTTGCTATATCTCTTTCATATGCCTTAAAGTTGTTTCATCAGAAAATCTGATTTTCAGGTTCGCATTCCAAAATTTACGCTTCAGTCAACTTTGAAATTGAAGGACGCCCTACGAAACATGGGAGTACGTGATATATTTGACAGATATGGATCGCTTCCAGGCATATCCGACAACTCTATGGGTCTGTCAGTGTCTGAAATTTTTCATGAAGCTGTGATGCAGGTAGACTTGAATGGAAAAGTATCGGTCAATCAGCATAATAATTAAGGTTGAAGATGCGCCAAGAAAAGAGAAGCTGGATCCTCTTTCTCAAATTATGGACGAGAATGTAAATTCCTGTTTGTAGGACATATAACGAAAAGTTAATGCTTATTTTAGTACAATGATCAAGAGGCCCATAAATTTACAGCTAACCGCCCGTTTCTTTACATATTGGCGAATGGCGACAAAAAGCTCATCCTATTTTTAGGCAGATACACAGGAATTCTCGATGCGCAGTGAGTGGAGTGTATTTCCAAGAAAACCCAAAATTTGGTTCATCTTTTGTTTATATTTATCTGCTCTCTTTCATAAAGAGACAAAACCTGCATTATATATGATAATTTTAACCAATAAATGTTTTCTTCCGCTTGCATTGCGTCATGTTTCACACTTTCAACGAGATCCGTAAATGCGTGTAATTAATATTTAATTGCCACGCTTCAAGTTACATCGTAATGTAACTATTGTCTTAAGACTGCACGTGTCGTGTTAGTTGACATGGTCATCATGGTCCATTTGCATACACAGTAGGGTTCTGATTTGTGATGTCCGCTATATTCAATATTTTGACTGTTAAGACACTGTACAGGATCATGTCAAAAGCACTTCCTCCCGAACCCAAATCTACCAGAACCTTGTTCTTCTACGTTGCGTACCAGCTTCCTGGTTGATGTTTTCCATGCGCTGAGCCCAACAGGAAATAATCATGCACTGTAGAAAATAACTTTTACTCACCCAGTGTCGCTATCACGTCCAACCTTCTTTCCTCAATCTCCGCCTCTACTAAACTTACCTTTGCTCGGAAGAGAATGAATTGATTCCTTATGAGGTGCAACTATTTCTACTATTTACTCTGCGTCAAAGCCAATGCTGCTGTGCGCAATTCAACCGTCGTTCATGTACTTTCATTTAAACAACTGTCTCCATGCCGGACAGAAGCGCTGATCTAACAGAGGCAAAGTAATGGAGACTTGTTTGGGATCACAGAGTTGCTCCCTTGTAAGCCCATATTTTGAACAGGTTTCCAAAGCTACTGAAGGCTACGACGATCCTTCTAATTAACTCTGCCCAGCTAAAAGTGATGGAGGCTCAAACTTGTCAGCCACCTGAAATACATGCCGAAATCACCGCAGCTGAGACCTTTAAATCTCGAGAATCAGCAGCTGTTCCAAATTTCTGTATTCCGTAACATTTCGAGACGCGTAAGTCCAGCGACTCGTCTCAGAAAGCCTATTTCAGCCGCAGCACATGAGATCAACGTTTTTCAGTCATGGTCAATGATTCGTCATCATGTGTGTGCATGATGAGCATGAAGACCGGCTTGATAGCCGAGAGCTTAGTCCTCGGCCTCAGCCCCATTTTAGTCAAAACGGTTAGAGCTAGTCCACAGAACGATGCTGGCTACTCCAATCCGCTGGACGATCACTTTCTCCAATTTTCCATCATTAGTGAATACAATTGCGAGGTACTTGAACTTCTCCACCTGCTCCACTGCCTCTTCTTTGATCTGAAAAGGACAAAGCACTAGGCTTTTCGTTTTAAATGCTTTACCGTCACTGATTCCGGTCCCATCGCACTCGGCTGCGAATCTTTCTAGGGAGCACCGTAGATCAGTTTCAGAAGATGCCAATTATACAAGGTCGTCTGCAAGCAGCGACCTTCTCGTCTTGGCATCTCTTAAGCTGATAGTATCATTGCACTGGTTGTGGCTGATTATCCTGTCTGTGTATAGAAGAAACAGGAGAGGGGATAAAACGCTGACTGGGCAGAGACTAGTACGACGAACACCGAAAGGTTTACCTAACGCCATTTATTCTGAAACAACACCTGCTATCAGCATATACTGACTGCCTGGCTCGTGGCAACTGACCATCGATCCCAAATATGTTCCTTGGCATGCGCATAGATTGTGTGCACGGGATCCGCTAATGGTCTTTCTGCAAATCCACAAGGCCCATTTACACCGGATGGACGAACTCCCACGATTTCTCGACGATCTGGCAAAAGGCGAAGATATGGCCAAGGAGCTTATGCCTAACCTAAAGCAAGACTACTCGTTTTGTATCTTAGAATCAGTTACTCCGCGCCACTCCCTGCTGCACCCTTGCGTAGACTTTTCCCGCAAATCTCATTAAGGTAATGCTCCGAGAATTGGGGATCTTTCTTGAACAGGAACAATACAGCCCTTATTCTCCAGCCAATTAGTATCTTTCGCATAGAGGTTGCAGTTTGACAGACATGTGTTAGACACAACATGCCTTGTTCACCTGAATCCTCACCTCTTTCAGAGAGAATTTCATTTATTCCAATAATCCTGCATTTTTTACAGCTTCTGTGACTTTATCCATTTTAAGACTAATATCCGTTGCCTGCTACTTTTCAGGTTTATCCTCCTGCAATTGCTCGAGATCAAGGAATTCCTCGAATAACTTACACCATCACGAAAATATTTTTTCATCGTTGGTAAGACTGCTCCTTCAGGATTCTTGGACTGCCTTACTTTCTATCTCAGTGGCGGCGGATGGCTTGCCAGAGTACACTGCCGTCTGAAAATTTCATCCCAGCACCTCACTAAATCTTTTCCTGGAATCAGCCTTTTTTGACCATTACTTTCTCCGCGCCTTGCGCGCTACTTCGTTCTATATTAGAGTGGAAGGCATCTGTATTAGAAAATTTCGTTATTCTGATGTAATGACCCTCAAAAGAATTGACGTCAACTTATGCCGGCGTCAACGGCAGCAGCGGGAGGTGCAAGAATGCAGTTGGTATAAGGTGACAAGCACATTTTTGTATCTTTGCACGCTACATAGCATTATTTTTTCCATTATCTTTGTTAAAATTACGCTTTTCCGCTTCCTCTCCAAAACTGGATATTCTGGCTACTCGGCAAATGGAAGGCATTCAAGCTCATGGCAAACACGACATATGATTATTCCCGAGACTGCCAGCGATATCTTTATCCCTTCCAACGATAACTGAAATTGATCAATCACTTAACTTTAGGAACTCCACCGTTGCCGGATTCCGGTTGATAAGGAGGTGGGCTTCGAGACCGCGGCGAAGTCTCCATAAAACTTAGCCACCTCCCCTTCAAGAAATAGACGTCATCGAAATTAATACCTGTTCTGTCGTTGCCCAGGTTACCAAGAGCCCGCAAACTGCGAAAAGTCGGCGATCAGAACCTGCTCACTTCCCTCTGCCAGCAGGGGCATAACAACACAACAACGGCTGATGAACACCGACGGAACGACGACGAAGATACCAGTCAGCAACGGAGTCGCTACCCGTTCTGAATGGAGGAGGCATACAGCGCGATGCCATTACAGCACGTCAGAAAAGGCTCCACGAGAACGACATCACCAGTGGGAGCTTAAAG